AAATGAACCTGAAGTGGGAGTTAATAGTATTGTAACAGCATGTGGAGCAGGTGAAATGAACCTGAAGTGGGAGTTAATAGTATTGTAACAGCATGTGGAGCAGGTGAAATGAACCTGAAGTGGGAGTTAATAGTATTGTAACAGCATGTGGAGCAGGTGAAATGAACCTGAAGTGGGAGTTTAAAGTATTGTAACAGTATGTGGAGCAGGTGAAATGAACCTGAAGTGGGAGTTAATAGTATTGTAACAGCATGTGGAGCAGGTGAAATGAACCTGAAGTGGGAGTTAATAGTATTGTAACAGCATGTGGAGCAGGTGAAATGAACCTGAAGTGGGAGTTAATAGTATTGTAACAGCATGTGGAGCAGGTGAAATGAACCTGAAGTGGGAGTTAATAGTATTGTAACAGCATGTGGAGCAGGTGAAATGAACCTGAAGTGGGAGTTAATAGTATTGTAACAGTATGTGGAGCAGGTGAAATGAACCTGAAGTGGGAGTTTAAAGTATTGTAACAGTATGTGGAGCAGGTGAAATGAACCTGAAGTGGGAGTTAATAGTATTGTAACAGTATGTGGAGCAGGTGAAATGAACCTGAAGTGGGAGTTAATAGTATTGTAACAGTATGTGGAGCAGGTGAAATGAACCTGAAGTGGGAGTTTAAAGTATTGTAACAGTATGTGGAGCAGGTGAAATGAACCTGAAGTGGGAGTTTAAAGTATTGTAACAGTATGTGGAGCAGGTGAAATGAACCTGAAGTGGGAGTTTAAAGTATTGTAACAGTATGTGGAGCAGGTGAAATGAACCTGAAGTGGGAGTTTAAAGTATTGTAACAGTATGTGGAGCAGGTGAAATGAACCTGAAGTGGGAGTTTAAAGTATTGTAACAGTATGTGGAGCAGGTGAAATGAACCTGAAGTGGGAGTTTAAAGTATTGTAACAGTATGTGGAGCAGGTGAAATGAACCTGAAGTGGGAGTTTAAAGTATTGTAACAGCATGTGGAGCAGGTGAAATGAACCTGAAGTGGGAGTTTATAGTATTGTAACAGTATGTGGAGCAGGTGAAATGAACCTGAAGTGGGAGTTAATAGTATTGTAACAGTATGTGGAGCAGGTGAAATGAACCTGAAGTGGGAGTTTAAAGTATTGTAACAGCATGTGGAGCAGGTGAAATGAACCTGAAGTGGGAGTTAATAGTATTGTAACAGCATGTGGAGCAGGTGAAATGAACCTGAAGTGGGAGTTAATAGTATTGTAACAGTATGTGGAGCAGGTGAAATGAACCTGAAGTGGGAGTTTAAAGTATTGTAACAGTATGTGGAGCAGGTGAAATGAACCTGAAGTGGGAGTTAATAGTATTGTAACAGCATGTGGAGCAGGTGAAATGAACCTGAAGTGGGAGTTAATAGTATTGTAACAGTATGTGGAGCAGGTGAAATGAACCTGAAGTGGGAGTTTAAAGTATTGTAACAGTATGTGGAGCAGGTGAAATGAACCTGAAGTGGGAGTTAATAGTATTGTAACAGTATGTGGAGCAGGTGAAATGAACCTGAAGTGGGAGTTTAAAGTATTGTAACAGTATGTGGAGCAGGTGAAATGAACCTGAAGTGGGAGTTAATAGTATTGTAACAGTATGTGGAGCAGGTGAAATGAACCTGAAGTGGGAGTTAATAGTATTGTAACAGTATGTGGAGCAGGTGAAATGAACCTGAAGTGGGAGTTTAAAGTATTGTAACAGCATGTGGAGCAGGTGAAATGAACCTGAAGTGGGAGTTTAAAGTATTGTAACAGTATGTGGAGCAGGTGAAATGAACCTGAAGTGGGAGTTAATAGTATTGTAACAGTATGTGGAGCAGGTGAAATGAACCTGAAGTGGGAGTTTAAAGTATTGTAACAGTATGTGGAGCAGGTGAAATGAACCTGAAGTGGGAGTTAATAGTATTGTAACAGCATGTGGAGCAGGTGAAATGAACCTGAAGTGGGAGTTTAAAGTATTGTAACAGTATGTGGAGCAGGTGAAATGAACCTGAAGTGGGAGTTTATAGTATTGTAACAGTATGTGGAGCAGGTGAAATGAACCTGAAGTGGGAGTTTAAAGTATTGTAACAGCATGTGGAGCAGGTGAAATGAACCTGAAGTGGGAGTTAATAGTATTGTAACAGCATGTGGAGCAGGTGAAATGAACCTGAAGTGGGAGTTTAAAGTATTGTAACAGTATGTGGAGCAGGTGAAATGAACCTGAAGTGGGAGTTTAAAGTATTGTAACAGTATGTGGAGCAGGTGAAATGAACCTGAAGTGGGAGTTAATAGTATTGTAACAGTATGTGGAGCAGGTGAAATGAACCTGAAGTGGGAGTTTAAAGTATTGTAACAGCATGTGGAGCAGGTGAAATGAACCTGAAGTGGGAGTTAATAGTATTGTAACAGTATGTGGAGCAGGTGAAATGAACCTGAAGTGGGAGTTTAAAGTATTGTAACAGTATGTGGAGCAGGTGAAATGAACCTGAAGTGGGAGTTTAAAGTATTGTAACAGTATGTGGAGCAGGTGAAATGAACCTGAAGTGGGAGTTAATAGTATTGTAACAGTATGTGGAGCAGGTGAAATGAACCTGAAGTGGGAGTTTAAAGTATTGTAACAGTATGTGGAGCAGGTGAAATGAACCTGAAGTGGGAGTTTAAAGTATTGTAACAGTATGTGGAGCAGGTGAAATGAACCTGAAGTGGGAGTTTAAAGTATTGTAACAGTATGTGGAGCAGGTGAAATGAACCTGAAGTGGGAGTTAATAGTATTGTAACAGTATGTGGAGCAGGTGAAATGAACCTGAAGTGGGAGTTTATAGTATTGTAACAGTATGTGGAGCAGGTGAAATGAACCTGAAGTGGGAGTTAATAGTATTGTAACAGCATGTGGAGCAGGTGAAATGAACCTGAAGTGGGAGTTAATAGTATTGTAACAGTATGTGGAGCAGGTGAAATGAACCTGAAGTGGGAGTTAATAGTATTGTAACAGTATGTGGAGCAGGTGAAATGAACCTGAAGTGGGAGTTTAAAGTATTGTAACAGTATGTGGAGCAGGTGAAATGAACCTGAAGTGGGAGTTAATAGTATTGTAACAGTATGTGGAGCAGGTGAAATGAACCTGAAGTGGGAGTTTAAAGTATTGTAACAGTATGTGGAGCAGGTGAAATGAACCTGAAGTGGGAGTTAATAGTATTGTAACAGTATGTGGAGCAGGTGAAATGAACCTGAAGTGGGAGTTAATAGTATTGTAACAGTATGTGGAGCAGGTGAAATGAACCTGAAGTGGGAGTTTAAAGTATTGTAACAGTATGTGGAGCAGGTGAAATGAACCTGAAGTGGGAGTTAATAGTATTGTAACAGTATGTGGAGCAGGTGAAATGAACCTGAAGTGGGAGTTTAAAGTATTGTAACAGTATGTGGAGCAGGTGAAATGAACCTGAAGTGGGAGTTAATAGTATTGTAACAGCATGTGGAGCAGGTGAAATGAACCTGAAGTGGGAGTTTAAAGTATTGTAACAGCATGTGGAGCAGGTGAAATGAACCTGAAGTGGGAGTTTAAAGTATTGTAACAGTATGTGGAGCAGGTGAAATGAACCTGAAGTGGGAGTTTAAAGTATTGTAACAGCATGTGGAGCAGGTGAAATGAACCTGAAGTGGGAGTTAATAGTATTGTAACAGCATGTGGAGCAGGTGAAATGAACCTGAAGTGGGAGTTAATAGTATTGTAACAGCATGTGAGCAGGTGAATGAACCTGAAGTGGGAGTTTAAAGTATTGTAACAGCATGTGGAGCAGGTGAAATGAACCTGAAGTGGGAGTTAAAAGTATTGTAACAGCATGTGGAGCAGGTGAAATGAACCTGAAGTGGAGTTAATAGTATTGAAACAGCATGTGGAGCAGGTGAAATGAACCTGAAGTGGGAGTTTAAAGTATTGTAACAGCATGTGGAGCAGGTGAAATGAACCTGAAGTGGGAGTTAATAGTATTGTAACAGCATGTGGAGCAGGTGAAATGAACCTGAAGTGGGAGTTTAAAGTATTGTAACAGTATGTGGAGCAGGTGAAATGAACCTGAAGTGGGAGTTAATAGTATTGTAACAGTATGTGGAGCAGGTGAAATGAACCTGAAGTGGGAGTTTAAAGTATTGTAACAGCATGTGGAGCAGGTGAAATGAACCTGAAGTGGGAGTTAATAGTATTGTAACAGCATGTGGAGCAGGTGAAATGAACCTGAAGTGGGAGTTTAAAGTATTGTAACAGTATGTGGAGCAGGTGAAATGAACCTGAAGTGGGAGTTAATAGTATTGTAACAGCATGTGGAGCAGGTGAAATGAACCTGAAGTGGGAGTTTAAAGTATTGTAACAGCATGTGGAGCAGGTGAAATGAACCTGAAGTGGGAGTTAATAGTATTGTAACAGCATGTGGAGCAGGTGAAATGAACCTGAAGTGGGAGTTAATAGTATTGTAACAGCATGTGGAGCAGGTGAAATGAACCTGAAGTGGGAGTTTAAAGCATTTTAACAGCCGTTGACGTTTAATCATAATGAATTGTAGAATGCTATACTTCTATAACAAGAGGAGTTCAAGAAATAAATTCAATTTATTCCAGAAATAAATTCACTTTATATAAAACTCATTCGTTGTATTGCGGGATATACTGATATAATACTGATTATTAAATTCACAAGGTAGACTTTATTCGACCATACCAAAACTGGGAGCACTCCGCAAGGTGAGATCTCTCACAATCCTGGAGATGAAATAGGACCACTGTGTTACAAACTTTTGGGCGTGGTTTTGAAACGTCTCCTCACTATCCCTCTTTTGAAAATGTGTTAACCAAACCAGTTTTATTTCAGTACCACTACCCTCTCATTACTTGTTGTTTTGAACCACAAAGCTTGCAGATTAAATCACTGACTGTGACTAGACCTTGGATTAGATCTAGGTTTAATCTACAATAGCTTACTATATAAACAAGATAGAGTCATCATTAAAATTCACAAAGTCTCAATAGAAATCTGTACAAAATCATTCTGTATTAAACACGATCACTAAATTAAGATAATTCTTCTGAAATGGTTGACCGATCAACTGTAAACTCATAAATAATCTGAAAACAGATGGAAAATTAAAAATCTGTACAAATCACCCAAAGCTATCTACACACCACCCAAACTTTTAGTTCATCATAAATCAGAAACTCAAATATTGCTATTGGACACGCACTTCAATATTTCCTCCATCAAGTTCTCAGAGAGGGTGTCTCCCTCGTTTAGGATGATATCTTGAGTAGTCAGGATATCAGAGGAAGTGTTCTGCAGCATGATGTTCCTGTTAGCTGTTCTACCGATAGTGAGACCGTTAGAGAGGGAGAAAATGCTGTTGTGGGACGAGGAGAGCATACTGGCGTTCCCCTCCTGAAGACAGTGGTTGCATTAGATATTATGCAGGCTGCTATTTATTAAATTATTATTGACTTCCTGGATCTGGTAACTGGTTTGGAATGTGGTTGTAATAATAGATTCTTTAATCTTAAAACTTTAAAAGAAAGTCTTTTGATTACTGATATCCGGGCAATGAATGTAGCAGGTATCTTGGCAAATCTTTGTTGAAAAAAGCAAAGTTTAGTTAAACAATCGAGGTTTACCATATTGATGTCTTCTGTTTCATCGAGTGGGTTCCCCATTATATGAGACATTATCATATCCTCCGGTGAAGTCATCATGACGTCATTTGATGACGTCACAATCTCCAGGGGTTGTGACGTCACTTCAACATAATCGTCAACTACGGAGATTTCTGTTTCGTGCCCAGGAGAAAGGGAAGTTTTGTCGATATTATTGATTCTGGGTTGTATTAAGGTTCCATTACTTTGACATAATGGCGCCATGTTTTGTTGTGATGACATCATGTTTTGCTGGGATGGAGCCAAGTTTTGTGGTGATGACGTCCCCTTACTGTGACTTGTTGGGATGTGTTGGTTAGTTGATGTTTGGTGTTCAGCTGCTACGGAGGGGAATGTGGGCTGGCACTTTTCTCCGGTTAACGAGGCCCTGAAATGTACAATTTACAGAAGTGAATTTGAAGATTTTGTCCAGGTTGAAGGTTTTTGGAAACCGGTTATTTATAAATGTTATTAAATTTAGCTATTTAGCCTTATATTTATTGTAATATTGAGTTTGATTATTCTTAAAACACATTTCTGGTTGTTTTTTATTTGACGCAGTGATAACGATGTTATGATAAAGGTAAGTAGATATTAAGTTACTGATTACAACGTATTCATACTCTGAAAATATATTTATTTGATGCGAACTATCTGCACTCGAAAATTAACAACTGCAAATTTATATTTTATAACTTATACGAACTGATAAAACTATACAGCTACTAAATTGTTATGATATATCATGCAACGTGTGGCAAACACGAGATAAACGATAAGGAACTTATCAAGGTGTCATTGGTAGAAAGATAAAACGTTTAGTAAGGATGATAAGTTCAGTATTATTTTTAGATTGAGTGTTATTTTCTTGTTCATTTAAAAACGGGCCTACTTGATTTCCCTGTTTAAAAAGTGAATTTCCTACTGTCTCGATGCATGGTCTTTAATGTACACTTTACTGTTGTGCATGATATGTTTGTCGGGAGGTTTGGGGTCTTGTTGGATAAAGATTGAATGCACTAGTGCATTCTTGAAGTGAATCCTCTCCAGCTTCTCCAAAAACGAGTATTTATATTCTTGTACAGTTCACTGTAGAAAATGGGGTTCAGAATGCTGTTAATGGGTAGAACAACCAGAGCTAGCACTTCAAACAGTAGAGGAGGAGGACTATCACTAACTATTTGGAAGTACACAGCAGCCCCGATAAAAGACGACCAACTTGCTAGCTGTGTTCCTATCATCAGAGAAACCTTCAGAGCTAATGAGGGGGCTGCAGCGTTCTGTCTGTTCATCCCACCCCCAATGTCTCCCACTTCACGTCGAGAAACTAACTGCTTTCTAACTATGATGAGGTAAGTGAGAGTAACTATGACCAGAAGTAGCGATACTATAATAAGGTAGGAGAGTTTATAGATGAAGTAGGATTCCTGTTCTTTAAAGACGTTGTGGACACACAGACGGGTGTTTCCATAATATCCGATCTCTATGATATCGAATATGTTGTCTTTACTGGTGATGATGTTGAGGTCCCTGACTGTTGTGTACAGATCAGTTTTGTTAGAGTAATATGTTTCATGTATTTGGTCTAACCTGGTCATGTTTACATAGCTAGAGCTGATGAAGGGATTATCTAGAAAGTTTTTAAAGAACACGTCTGTACGGAAGATGTTTTGTATGGCAACCAAAGGAAGGATGGGAATCAATGCGTTGATCACATTTATGGCAATAAGTATGGCAGATGTTATAAATATTGTTTTAAGTTTGGTTTGATGATGTACTCTGACACAATTAATACACCTGACTACACTCATAAGGGCTATTGCACTGAGGGATCCATGTGAAGCTATTGAGAATGTCAGTCCAAGTGCCTGGCAGAAGATACTTGATCTCCAACTTTCATCTTGAAGACAGTAGTTGCCATTCACACGAAGAACCAGGGCTGCCACCACAATACCACAGTTATACAGACCCATACTACCATCAAAGAAAAGAACCTGGAGACACAACAATCTGTCAACTTTGCCGGCTGATGTGGAAGGGTTGCTGTTGAAACATCTGATCCCCCCTCTAAAGTTCAGTGCTATTGCTGAGACTCCTGCAATAGCTGTGAAAGCAAGCAGAAAGTAAGAACTGAGGAGGAGATTGGATAACCCATCTGAGTTACAGGGATCACATTCGTCACGCCCGTTGGAGCAATGTTTGATATTATCACAAGTTTTATCAGGAGTCACCCACTCTGTACTCTCAGAGGTATTGAGGGAGCAATAGAAACGACCTGGACATTCTGCCTCATCCGCACCGTTAGAACAATCTAATTCTCCGTCACATAGTTTAGATAATTGGCAGGTTTCATCATAGTATTTGGGCGTACAAGTGAAATCAATCTGCTTGAACTTACCCATACTTTTTAACACGATTCTGTCGCAAAACTTAGCCCATTTTTCATCATCAAAGTCAGGAGTCTCAGAGCAGTTTGTTTTACAGTAGCTGGAAATATCTTCATTATTATCGACTTCGAAGAGGTGTATGATATTATCGTTGAGGCATCGGTTGATAGGGTTGATGAGACGGTTTTCATTATCCGAAACTGCAGAGCAGTCAACATTTTCAATATTATGAAAGGTGCATGAATAGTTTAACTCTGAAATGGAGTTCTTTTTTCACAGTATTCTCTTTGTGACAAGCAAATACTTGAGGAGTTTAGGATAGGACATTCTACTTCCACAAAACCCTCGCATAAACACTCATCTGCGCCATCAAGACAATCATTCTTACCATCACACAACTGTGGAAAGGTAACACATCCAGTGCGTTTTGGACAAAAGAAAACTTCTTTACTGGTACAGCCACATTCGTCTGTGAGGCAATCAGAAATTGCGTCGCAGTATCGGTTGTTGTTATCGAGTTTGCAGAACCAGGGTACTTCAGAAATTGCTATTATCCACGAAGAAGAAATGTCTTCTCTGAGCACAAGATCCATGGCGCTAACCGGGAATTGACACACACCTTCCGTTATATTTGCATTACGACTAGTATTAATAACATTGAGTAGATGAGAGGAGTCTCCAGATTTGATAAAGATTTTGTGAGTTGGTTGGCACTTTCCTTTGGACTGTTCCTCAAGGGCTGGAATTATCCCAGGATAATCATTTAGGTTAACGATGTTAGGAATAGTTAGTGGGACAGCTGTAGGAAGTTTGTTAGGAGAAGTACTAGTAGAAAGAGTTTCGTAACTAGAACTAGAAGGAGGTTCGTCTGTAGAAGGAGGTTCGTCAGGAGAAGGTTCGTCAGGAGAAGGTTCGTCAGGAGAAGGTTCGTCAGGAGAAGGTTCGTCAGGAGAAGGTTCGTCAGGAGAAGGTTCGTCAGGAGAAGGTTCGTCAGGAGAAGGTTTGTCAGGAGAAGGTTCGTCAGGAGAAGGTTCGTCAGGAGAAGGTTCGTCAGGAGAAGGTTCGTCCAGGAGAAGGTTCGTCAGGAGAAGGTTCGTCAGGAGAAGGTTCGTCAGGAGAAGGTTCGTCAGGAGAAGGTTCGTCAGGAGAAGGTTCGTCAGGAGAAGGTTCGTCAGGAGAAGGTTCGTCAGGGAGAAGGTTCGTCAGGAGAAGTTCGTCAGGAGAAGGTTCGTCAGGAGAAGGTTTGTCAGGAGAAGGTTCGTCAGGAGAAGGTTCGTCAGGAGAAGGTTTGTCAGGAGAAGGTTCGTCAGGAGAAGGTTCGTCAGGAGAAGGTTTGTCAGGAGGGGAAGGCATACCAGGGCTGATAAGACAAAACAAGGTGAATGAGATTAGTGGTATCAATAATCGGAACATTTTCTTGTCTATCTACAAAATAATTAGGTGTTATCAAATAAAGAATAGCAGTTGTTAAATTTACGTTATTCTGATAATTAAACCTAGTATTACGGATAATCTGTATAAATTAGTGCATCAAATTAATTGAAAGCACTGATATAAATTTGTAGATAGCTTTTAGATATAAATGAACAAAGAAAACTTGAAAGAAATATTTATCGGGTCTATGTTATACACTTAATAGCATAAGATGAAGATGTTGGCGCGACCGTAAGATAATAAATTCTAGACATAAGACTGCATACTTAACTCCTCTCACTGTAATTATAACTAATTATAATATTCATAACTATAAGTTTAGAACTGGGGCACTCATGACTCGTTAGACTACAGGTCACTAAAACCTCGTGCCCAAATTAACGCTGCAAATGATCATTTCATTTTCCTCGTTCTATCCGTTTATTCCATGGCAACTGGTAAGTTATCACATACCAATAATATAACAGTACGGGTTGCGTAGTTAATTACAAATTATAAAATGAGCAGGTGCTAGTAATATAAGGGTAGGGCATGGGAGGGTTAAGGTACGATCTGTAAACACAGAGAGCAAGTGGGTTGTGTCGCCATAACTACCCATGACTATCAAGCTACCAATGCCTACAACACGTGGAACACATTGCAACGATCCCAAGACAACTTTCTGCCTAGTACCGAGCAGCTTCTTGGGCTCAAACGATGCTTTAATTGAATATAATTCTTATCTAACTATAGAACTATCCAGTATAAAATGTTTCAGCCTTATCACTCGCAATTAGGGGTTAACCCCCTTCGTCGTTTTTACACGTGACTAATGACTACAACACGAGATTAAAAACTCGCATGCTTACCTTTTCTGAACCTTCGAAGGCCATCTGCTATTAATGATGATCTTAGTTAATAGTTGAGTGGGTCCCATACAAACTAAGCACTTTGTGGTTTTACACGTGACTACAACACGAAATTAAACCTCATGGTGTCATCACATGCTTACCTTTTCTGAACCTTTGGAGGCCATCTACCATTGTAGCAAGTTTGTTCCCTAAACAAAATAAAAACAAAAAATATATAATGGCAATGCTACTAACCACAGCTCAGCCTGCAGTGCACTTTGTTGATGCTCCTCTACAAGATGCAGCACGTAGTCGGAGAACAGCATGTGGAGCAGATGAAATGAACCTGAAGTGGGAGTTTAAAGTATTGTAACAGCATGTGGAGCAGGTGAAATGAACCTGAAGTGGGAGTTTAAAGCATTGTAACAGCATGTGGAGCAGGTGAAATTAACCTGAAGTGGGAGTTAATAGTATTGTAACAGCATGTGGAGCAGGTGAAATGAACCTGAAGTGGGAGTTAATAGTATTGTAACAGCATGTGGAGCAGGTGAAATGAACCTGAAGTGGGAGTTAATAGTATTGTAACAGCATGTGGAGCAGGTGAAATGAACCTGAAGTGGGAGTTAATAGTATTGTAACAGCATGTGGAGCAGGTGAAATGAACCTGAAGTGGGAGTTTAAAGTATTGTAACAGCCGTTGACGTTAAATCATAATGAATCATTTGAATCTCGTAAAATGCTATAACTCTATAACAAGAGGAGTTCAAGAAATAAATTCAATTATTCAAGAAATAAATTCACTTTATATAAAAGTCATTCGTTGTAATTGATTATTAACTTCACAAGGTAGACTTTATTTGACTGTACCAAAACTGGGAGCACTCCGCAAGGTGAGATCCCTCACAATCCTGGAGATGAAGTAGGACCACTGTGATACAAACTTCTGGGCGTGGTTTTTAAACGTCTCCTCACTGTCGCTCTTCTGAAAATGTGTTAGTAAACCAAACCAGTTTTATTTCAGTAACCTCTCCTTCCTATCCTCGTGTGTTTTTGAACCCCACAAAGTTAACAGTTTAAATCACTGACTGTGAGTAGATCTTGGATTGGATCTAGGTTTAATCTACTATATAATCTCTAAATTCTACTAACCTTGACCACGAACTTGTCAATTAGTTCCTTGATCCACTCCGCGTACTCCTCCACGCTTGCTTGTTCCCCTAGCAACTCACTGAACTCACTCTGGATCCTCTTCAGTGTCCCACTACTCATATCACCTTCTGGACTTGTGAATAGGAACATTGCCTGCGGAGTGTTAAAGTAAATATTGGTTCCGATCCTTTGTTCATGAGTCTTTTAAGTGAAAAAAGTAGAGGTGTTTTTGAGATAATTAAACTTGGTCTTGACCAGTTCACTGACTGAGAATCTGGTATGTAGGCATATCTTCAGTTTTAGATGTTAACAAAAAGATTAAAAAGTCATGTTTATATACCTGGTGAGTCATACTATCGATATCAAGGTGACACCAGTCATGTATCATTTGACTCACGGCACTGCTGCTACTCAGTACTGTCCTGAATGAGTGTCATTAGCAATTTTAATTAAACAACTGGATAAATATCGAGCCTTCTTGAAGTACTAATGAGGGTCATTAGCAATGTTAATTAAACAACTGGATAAATATGAAAGCTTCCTCATATTATGCACTTGATGGACGTTAAGTAGCGTGCACAGGAAGAGTCCATTATCAATGGACATTGGACATTACTTATTACAAAGTTACAAGATGCTCATCAGACCCAGTTTAACTGGTGTTTACCTAGTAGCCTGAGTAATGTGAGTTAGAGTGGGTACTAGTAGTGTAACTATGGTTACTAGGAGTGTAACTATGGTAACTATTTGTGTAACTATGGTTACTAGTAGTGTAAGTTACAAGATGCTCATCAGACCCAGTTTAACTGGTGTTTACCTGGTAGCCTGAGCAATGTGAGTTAGAGTGGTTTGAGATAAGTAACCTTATAGTCATGGTTACTGGTACTGCAGTCATGGTTACTGGTACTGTAGTCATGGTTACTGGTACTGTAGTCATGGTTACTGGTACTGTAGTCATGGTTACTGGTACTGTAGTCATGGTTACTGGTACTGTAGTCATGGTTACTGGTACTGTAGTCATGGTTACTGGTACTGTAGTCATGGTTACTGGTACTGTAGTCATGGTTACTGGTACTGTAGTCATGGTTACTGGTACTGTAGTCATGGTTACTGGTACTGTAGTCATGGTTACTGGTACTGTAGTCATGGTTACTGGTACTGTAGTCATGGTTACTGGTACTGTAGTCATGGTTACTGGTACTGTAGTCATGGTTACTGGTACTGTAGTCATGGTTACTGGTACTGCAGTCATGGTTACTGGTACTGCAGTCATGGTTACTGGTACTGTAGTCATGGTTACTGGTACTGTAGTCATGGTTACTGGTACTGTAGTCATGGTTACTGGTACTGTAGTCATGGTTACTGGTACTGTAGTCATGGTTACTGGTACTGTAGTCATGGTTACTGGTACTGTAGTCATGGTTACTGGCACTGTAGTCATGGTTACTGGTACTGTAGTCATGGTTACTGGTGTAGGCAGATCTTCAGTTTACCTGGTTGCCTGAGCAATGTGAGTTAGAGTGGTTTGTCTCCTCATCATAGCTACGAATATATCAGAGGCTTGCAATACTGCCTGGACTATGTTTCCTGGTAATCCTGTAAGAGAGATAAATGAGTTTTGACGATGATGTCTTATTAAAAGTTGCAGTTGTACAATTATTGGAAAAACCCCATAAATGTGCATCCACTATCTGTAACATCTAATTAGTAGCTAGGAAATTTTAACTTACGAACTAACAATTGATTAATAACTAAAAACATTTCACAAAAAGATTTTGATACCTGCAACAGCCATTCTGGTCCAGCCGCCATATTGTTTACAAAAGCTCCTTATAGTTTGTGTTAAGGATGAAGGTATCGGATGAAGGGGTGTCGGGAGAAGGAGTGAGATTATTGTCTGAATTTCAATAACGTTAATTAGTTAATAAATTAGTTAATTCGTGAAATTTTAATTTATTAGTAATAGACAATAGTACTAAGCAGTAAGCTATGAAATCTTTTTATTGATAAGATAATTCTGAAATTAATCGGATAGTAAGTAACATAACGTACCTTTGAAAGTAAAATATCGCAGTAAGCAACAACATCAGAGAAGAGGTTAAGTGAAGAGAGCACCTCGTCTGAGAAGCTACCCCAGAATTTCATCAACAGTGGTTCAACCTAGCGCTAAAGAGTAAGAATTTCTTGTTACAATTATCCCCATACCTCCTGGTATACACTATACCTCCTGGTATATGCGACAAGAGAAACGCCATCTTAGGACGCGAGGAGATTGAGAACTCCTCGAACTAAATTAAATTAATTCCTCCAGTAGCAGAATGCATATTTTAAAACTGGACCTATGTTACGACCTTGAGGAACACAAAATAACCTTGGTGGTTGAAATTAAAATGGTACACTGCATTTTTTTTGTAAAACATGAAGAATATCATGAGTACCTCTGAGAATGCGGCCTTCACTATAACTTCCAGAACATTGTGGGAGTAGATCCTGTACTGCTCTAAAAATGTGGTTATGTGCGCAATCTTTGCCTGCAAAATGTATGTTATCATATCGTTGACTCATCAAATAACTGTACTGACTCGTGACTTGAGATATCTCGACCATTTCCTTGGAAATTTACCCAATATCAAGTTAATTTAATGAAATTGCAGAAGATCGAACAGCTGCGACTTTATCGTTATTGTCTATACATATATAAATATGAAACCATCTAACAACTGAATGATAATGTAATTTTTGCTTTATCAGCCCTAAATAAGGTAGAATTTTACCTGTTTTGGTATTTTGAGGACGTCTGATTTGGGGAAGTCTGGCAGTAGTGACGCAAGCACATCTGCTGGAACTGGTTTCACCTGCAGAAATACCAGTCAATCGACCATAAATCTTACAGATTATACTTACGACGCCCAATTTTGGTAAAAATTGAGAATACTTAATCGGTACGATTAATGACTGCTCACTGCACCGGGCACCCACTGGTATAAGTATAACTATAAGTTGGAATTGCGTTCTTAAAAGATTAAGTATCACTAAGTAAATGAGTCTGTTGGTGTTGTTAAATTAGAGTATTTCCTAACCCCCTTCAATATGGGCCCATATTAGTGCTTGAGAACTATCTTAGGATTTAAGTTGAGCACTCAGTTTGGATATTATTGGTTTCTCATTCTGATCACCAGCAATGGCGTAATGCAAATTTCGATCCTTCACTCGAGAAGAAACCAATAGCGATCAGACTTAAAATATCGGGGTTCAATGCCCTCCCCGCCGTGAGTAGCCGTCGAGATGATGTTGTGGCCAGTCAGTGGCCAGTCAGTAACCAGTCAGTAACCAGTCAGTAACCAGTCAGTCGAGATGATGCTCGAGAGCACTATTTATAAATATGGACCATCGTACTGTCGTCTAGTAGTTGTGAATTGTGCAATATATCACAAAAATTATCACTAAAAACAAAATGAGCGTCTATCAACGTGGGTGGCCGCATAATTTTAAAATGTCTATTCTTACGGGAGATACGATGTTAGATTTAAGGGGTTGGGTTCTGGCGGGGGAGCTGTAAGTGTAGTCGTTCATGTGATACTGGGAGGTCTCCTTTATCGCTAGCCCGTAGTAGTGGTACCTGAACGAATGATGATTTAGAGCTGGAAACGGCCGGGACATGACTTTTCTGTCCGGTGCATGGAAAGAGACACAAGGTTAAACACTGATACAATAATAAGTACTGGTACAATAATTAGCTAATTAGGCTCTCCTGGAAAGTAATTAATATGCACGACCACTGTTTTCAAAACTTTATTTCATTCTTACTTAGATTGGCCTCTAGATCCTAATCTCCGAGTTTTGAGGGTCGGGAAATGTTGTCGAATAATCTGAAACAATACATTATAGTGAGAAAGTATTGTTTTTACTCGGACTCATTTAATCATAATGTCATGTACATCTCACTGAAGTTGCAACGGTTGATTCTTTAATTAAATGTCATGACTATCATGACCTCTGCACGAAAACCACGAGTTATCCCACAATATTCGTAGAAGATAAATGTCAGATGACGTCATGATGGCGCTAACAACATGTGCTTTATTAACAAACTAATACTGCAACCAACCTTGCCGAAACTAGCAGCATTAACAGGCTGCACGCTGTTTCTCACACAGAAGTCCAGGTAGTGTTCGTAGATAACGTTCCGGGGTACACTGCACCCTTCTGATACCTCGTAATTTTCTGATAACCTGCCATGTTGGTTTGTTATTCGAGATTTTCATTAAGAATTAAAACAAGTCCTTCATATAATGGCTCTTGACCGGCTCTTAACCGGTTCTTAACCGGCTCTTAACCGGTTCTTAAGCGGTTCTTAGCCGGTTCTTAGCCGGTTCTTAAACGGTTCTTAAGCGGCTCTTAAGCGGTTCTTAAACGGCTCTTAAACGGCTCTTAACCGGCTCTTAAGCGGTGGTCGCTGTTTGCCCTATTAGCCATAATGGAGCCATTGTTGTGATATTTGTAACCCTTTTTTACCATGTTAGGATTGGAAAGGGTTCTCCCTTGTTTGTTAAAAGTATTACTATTTTATTTTGGAGACCCTATAATATCCACACATTTGATTTTAAAAGTTATCTTACACAGAATAGTTTATCGTTGAAATGATTTTATTCGTTAACAAAACTTTAACATCGCGAGGTGTGAAACTACAACAAAACATCAATTGAGAAATAAGAGCTCAAATCCGATACAATAACAGTCAGAATATCTCAGTCAGATAATAATGAATGATGCACCCACCAGCGCTGAGTGACAGGTGATATGAGCCTGCTGAGTGGCTGAGGGCGAGCTCTGTCTTCGTATTCACATATCCCTCTCATTCTCCCTCCTGAAACAGTGGAGTCAAACTAACCTTTCTATAGTTTAAAAAACAATAGTTGAACATGATGGTATTGGCGAAATTTTGTTAAACACTTCCCTTCCACGGCATGTAAGATGAAAAATTTGCATAAATCTCTAGTCTTATATCATCTTATTACTTTATTAGAAATAAAATATTACCGAGAGGTGAAGGTGATATAATAGCTCCATTAACAAGAGGGGAGGAAAGTATAGTGCCAGTACCCAGGGATGAGGGGGAGAGGATTGAGGTTGATCTGAGACTATCTGCCGCTGCTGAGAGTTCATATTTGTTAATTAAAGAATTATACACAAGTGTATCACTTTTATATTTACTGTTACTACAAGTCTCCAATCAACTATCTAATACATATTTATAATCAATATTTTATATTTCTACAGTTTTAAAATATTTAAGCGATGGAAAGTTCCTTATGGCTTATGAAGCCATCAACTGCGTCTATAAGTGACGGAAATTTGGTTCACAGATATACAAATTTAAATCCGTGAAAATTGGGCGGCAAAATGAGATGACTCACTATTTTTATTTACTGTGGCTGATACAATTAGGTTCAAATTCCGATAATGACCAGCCAGTAGTTAATCTAAGTAATTAATTAGCGACAGTACTTTACCTAGAAAACTGTATCCTGAATTCTGGTCCTCCCAATGCACTGATTCCACCTCCACCTTCAACGGAAATCCTCCTAGCATTCTGCTATCTTTTTGTAAAAACACTTAAAATACCGTTCAACAAAACAAGATGCTCGTCAATTATTTTTGGTAAATTTTGATTTATAACACTCCCCAGCAAGCGATATAGTTGATAATTGCTGGATTCGACTCTTGGTCTTTCCGTGCAACATCTTGGGAAGGTCACTATTTGTCAGCACTCTACAGTCTACAGGGACTGGTCAAGCATACAAACGCTTAGAAAAAGCATTAAAAACATTTGAAAACACGTTGGCAAATCCAAGATAAAGTTGAGTATTCAGCAAACTGAACTGCTGAGAAGAGTTTCCAGCCGCATGTGATACAAAACAGCACAATAGTGTACGTCTACTTATCGTATACATTGATTTTAAAACTCAGAATAAAGAGCTGATCACACAAGAAAACACTGTACACGATACTACAACAAATGTAATTTAGCTGAGCTGATAGAGTTAACAATCGAATAATGAAAACGAGAATATCAAGCTAAAACGATGTGATAAGTATAAGGCGAACGTTGGCGTGCAATGGTTGCCATGCTACTCCGTTCAACAAGCATGCCGTTGCCTTGGCAACCAGCTTGTCATATTTAGAGGAGATTATTGTGTAAAACAGTAACGTTGCATGCAGATGAGACGGCAGCGGTGCAACAATCACTAAGTCATTGTGCCGCTGCAGTTCATTACTTATATCAGAATAATAGCAAAGTTGGTAATTAGTATCTCGATCATATCTAATCATATCAAGATTAGAATCAAAAATTGTTTATCTATTTTTGATGAGTTTTGTCGGCTTTTCACCGTCCTAAGCTGTGCCAAGTAATTGTCTTTGTCAATCATCAGATACTGCAACTGCTGATTATGTTTCCGCAGAATAATTTCAATCACGTATTCAAACTTGTTTTAGTTATTGCCATTTATCATGTTTTTACCGATCTTCTTTGTAGACTTATCAGATCTTTTGGATGTTTATTGTTAACTACTTCAGATAGATATAAATAATAAAATTCAAACTTGTTGTACAGTTGTTGTGTCTGATGAAGTTACGATCAGCTGAGATGAGAGTTCAATAAACAACACTTTGTTAAAGAATGTGCGGCATTTTTTACTGTTATTAACTAGCATTCTGTGATAATTTATATAACAGTGACTTAACACAGGTAGTAGTGACTTAAACCCAACCCTTAACCTAATCAACCTCGTACTGATATATAACCCTAATTCTATTTCCAACCTAACCATAACGTTAATGATAAAAAAAATAATTCATTACAGTGCACCACCACATCAAAACAAATTTTTAAATGAGTTTTTTGGCACAATTTATATCCTGGTTTGTGAAATGATTATAATATATCGTCTCAAAAATTTTATAAAAATACCCAACTTAAAAAGTTTCAAAATTTTGAGTATGCTAAAATTTATGAAATTCGATGCGATTATCTGATATTGAATTGATTTGCAAGTTCCAGATTTTCCATCACGTTATGACATAAAGAAGGTATAAATAATTCAAACAAGTTTGAATAAATCTACAGAAGTTACAACACTCGTATTTGTAATATGAAAACTCACATACAGAGTGTGGTTTTTTCGCCAGAACTCCAGGTGATTACGTCTCTGGGGCTCCAGCTTTTCCTTCAAATATTTGGTAACCTCGTTCCATACCAAGTTGTTCGGAGATCTGGGCTCGTCTGAAGTACTGCGTAGGAGTTTGTCAGTTGGCTCGAAGTCGCTGCATCATCGTCAATATCTCTGACCGAGTCGTCAGTATCACTGTTTCTTCCCTTCTCGACATCACTGTCTACACTGATTCTTGTACTCTTTCTTTGTCGGAAGCCTGCACTTCTCTCTTAGACTTATATATCAGGAACTCTTTGGCGGCTTGAGATTTCTCTCTACAAATAAAAACAGTTGCCTTGTAGATAAAAAGCGGTCCCGGTCGATCCTTGTTTGTCACTTCTGTGTTCTGGTCGCATTTTATACCAATCTGTACAAGAGCCGAAATTGGCAAAACTTTTACCGAGCAACAAAAGTTCATAAATTTATCTAAATGCTCCTTTTTGAATTTTGCAACATGATACTCACTTACTATACCATATACCAAGAGTATAAGGAATACCACACAAAAATGCTGAGTCTTTGTCTAACAGCCATGTTAAGGTCGGGCCTTATTTTTGTCACCCCTACAGCTTTCAGTGGTCGTTTCGCCACTAGGCAGTCAGAAACTTCACCTCGCTATAACAATAGAGGTCTGTAGTACAGGTACTGGTAGTGCAGAAACTTCACCTCGCTATAACAATAGAGGTCTGTAGTACAGGTACTGGTAGTGCTAAATAAACTTGTGAAACACTTGTCATGACGTATTACAGTGTTTGTAGCATAGATAAGGTGCAAGGTTTTTCTTTTTTAAATATTTGAGACAACTCCCAAGTTTGGGCTGAGCCACCTACTGCTGTGGTACAGGAAGTGCTTAGTGACATAATAATTGTGAAACTCTCAGACAATTATCGTTGATCTGGCCTGGGCTGAGCCTACTACATTGTCGATTACAGAATATTGACTACTGGCTGTCTCTTATGGTATAGGTCTGACGACCTCCCGACACTTGAAATTCAGCCTTTGGCATTCGCCGTCTTTGGCAACATAAAAGAAAGAAATGCAATGTAAGGATAGTTAGTTATAGCTGACGTTTGATATGAAATTGACAAGTCAGTAATGATGGTATTCAGTCGCAGTCGCAGTCGTCCTACTGTCCTAAGATAAACCAGGGTCGCCTCAAGATACGTTGTTTTCATATCTACATAATCACTATGATGATGTTGCCATATTTTATATTCTATTCATTGAGTGAATTTCTTTTGCGTTCGTTTTTGCGCATGTCATTGTCAATCAACTTTTGTCTTGATCGACTGTATATGGATGGCCAAAATTCTTATTTCAATTGTATTTCACCTGCTATCCTCAGGGGTATAAAACATGGTATGTCCAAATATGGACATACAATGTTTGTAATATTCCAGAAAGTTCAATATTCTCATGGGTACCAAACATGTCCAAATATGGTCTATATGAACATACAATGTTTGGTATGTGTCAGATAGTGTCAGACAGTTTTACTTTCTCATGGGTTTGTCCAAATATGGGACAATGGACATACAATGTTTGCTCTGTGGTTTTGCTAGCTAATGCTTAGTAAACGCAGTCTCATACGACGAATTCGTTTAATGCAGCTGATCCCGCAAGGATCTCAATAACATTAAAAATACAATACAATTAAAAATAATGGAGACACGATGTTTTGGTCATGTGACCAGCGAATTATGTTTGACAAATCTTAATGACAGCTGTCTGCATGGTTGAGATCACAGATACAGTCACATCCTGTCTGGAGGAAACTTGGTAATTTTTTTATTGAAATCTTTTGAATTAATCAATTACATACAAATTACACAATGGAATAAACTACAGAATATACCCTGAGAGAAAGTGTGGATAAATTCAAGTTAACAGTTGATAGGTCAACTGTTAACTTAAATTTACTGTCCCTGTTACCTGATCTCGAGATGACTTGCTATATTTCGTTAATCCAATCAATGTCTGGAAAACTGCAAATATTTACATGAAGATGACCTATTTTTCTTAAGGAGTTGTGCGCGATGACGATACATATAGAGGCCGCAGAATGATGAGTACTACCAGATCACGGTGGAATTAATTTGATCTAAGATATCACGACAGGCCCTATAACTCCATATAAAGGTGACTTCATGCTCAGGTTTCAGCATCCTTACATTGTTAAAGAATCAGAGTGCCAGACATGTTCATTAATAATGACATCTGAGGGTGGGCAATATAAGTGGCAGTGCCATGTGAATGACATAATCTTTCTAATGTAAGTACCTCAATGATAATCTGATAATGAAATTTGTATGCCATAAATTACTGTAAATGGATACTCATGTGAAGAACAATGCAATCTGTAAGATTGAGGCTATCTGAGTATCCTTAGAACTATGAAACAGCTTCACAATGAACATGACCATAACTTGCTATACCACATACCACCATAACTTGCAATACCACTGCCGACTGCCACACCACAATTTAGACATCTATCGAGATTTTTGCTAAGTTGCTAGTCAATAAATGCTTACATTTTAAATAAATGGTAATTGTTTAATGTTCATAAAATTTTCGTCATATAAATTTATGAAGATTGGTTTCGCTACTTACCAAGCTTTTAACTTTGAAATCGTGCGTAAAGATATTTTCCTTAAATGGAGTGACAAAACAACTTTTGTTAAACTTATGACTTGGCATTTTAATAGGGAAGTATCCTTGATCCTGGAGAGTGGTGGATCTGTTAACACTTAACGTGGCATCAAATACACATGAGCTTAACAACAATTTTATTGTGCTTCTAATTTTCTACGAAAAACACAGCTTTCTTAAACTGTATGTTAGGGACTGTTACTTGGTTACTGACTACTGTTACTTGGTATTTTTTGAACTATTCACAAATAAAACTACAAAACTTAATCATGGTGAAATAAAATTTACAAAATTACAATTACAATAAATAAATTCAATAAAATAATCTGGAATCATGCTCATTTAGATCGAGTAACTGATTTACAAGCTTCTGCAGTTTTTTGAATAAAATCCAATGTTTTAATGGTCAGTAAAGATAGACCAAACCTCACCAATGTTTAAATCATAACAACTCAACCTTTCTTAGCGATGATTTATAAATATAAGTCTAAGAGAGTGTCATCAACATTAACAAATCACTTAAAACTGAATGTCATCGATGATGTTCTGCTGTTATATCACTCAAGTTAGTTAGATCACTAAGACTTGCAAATTGTATCACCGTTTGCTACTCGCCAAAAATCAACAAAAATTTCTTTACAATCATTAACTTCTGCAAATCGGGTCTTCATAATAATTAAAATACAATTAGTTAAATCCCACCTTATCTTAAGATGGCTGTATCAGTAATCATCTTTGAAAAAAACCCTTAAAAGATTTTTACAAAAATAACTCTGACTTAACAACAACATTCCACAATATAAAACT